GCAGGAAAAACAGTTACATTTCAGCAATATTAAAACATTCCCTATCATAGTGAATGTGTCACCTTGGAGTGAGATTAACATTTAACTGGTGAACTCAGGGTAAAGCGATTGGATGGGTGGGCCTCATCCAATCAGTTGAGGGCCCCAATAGAGCAAAAAAGACCAGTTTCCCTAAGCAAGAGAAAATTCTCCAGCTTTGTACCATTGGGTTTTTGGCCTGCCAGTCCACCCTGCAGTTTTCGGGCTTCCCAAGCCCCCCGCACCTCCCCTACACACACACACACACACACACACACACACACACACACTACGGACTGGTTCTCTGGAGAACCCTAATACATTGCCCTTCCCCAAATCATAAATTGTTAAAGTTATTTTTCCTTCAACTCTATTTAAAAACAACCCTAATCAAATATGCTTTGTTTTTTTCTGTCATAGAAAAGGATGATGTAACAATGTAAATAACGACCTTTGTACAAATTTTATGTATAATAAAAAGTACTTGACATTTTCCAAGTACTTCAAAAAACAAGAAAAATTCTATTCAGTTTCCTAGCATGGCGAAAGTGCTTAACCATGGCTGGTTTTGAGGACGGTAGAACTGAAATGAATCTGGGTGTGAAAGGAACGCTACAACATGAAATATTACTCACTGAGATTAGGCCTTTGGGATGCAATACTCTGGTTTTCTAAACAGACTATAAAGAATGTAACTTGCCTGTTCTTTGAAATTGTTATGCTCTTTAAATTGTGTAGGACACATATTACAAAGTTTGTCAAAAAGTTAGCTGTTTAGATTTCCTGTTTAAAATCAGCAGTTGCGCCGAGGCCGGTTTGGCTCAGTGGATAGAGCGTCGGCCTGCGGACTGAGTGATGAGAGAGAATCATGGATTGATTGGCTGCCTCCTGCACTCCCCACATTGAGGATCTAGTCTGCAACCTAGATATATGCCCTGACCCGGAATCACACTGTGACCTCCTGGTTCCTAGGTTAAGGCTCAACTACTGAGCCAGGAAGTTAATATTAAAATATTTTTATGCCGAAACCGGTTGGGCTCAGTGGATAGAGCGTCGGCCTGCGGACTGAAAGGGCGCAGGGTCGATTCCGGTCGGGGGCATGTGCCTGGGTTGTGCGCACTTCCCCAGTGGGGGATGTGCAGGAGGCGGCTGGTCGATGTTTCTCTCTCATCGATGTTTCTAACTCTCTATCTCTATATCTCTCTCCTTTCCTCTCTGTGAAGAATCAGTGAAATGTATTTAAAAAATAAAAAAATAAAAAAAAAAATAAAATCAGCAGTTGCTTCTTGCTGGAGCTGTTCAGAGGAAGAAAATGTATGGCATATAAAACAGAATAACTGAGCAGCTTCTCATTACCTACAGAGTGTTACAGAAATGAACAAACTACTCTACCTAAGACAGTTACCATTAAACGTTATTTAAAAATAATTTCCAGATTATTTTAATTTTTTCATTCGAAAATGTATTTCTTGGTTGATAGAATATATTCAGAATGTACAAAGCCTTATATAAAAGAAAACAAACATCACAGGTAAGTCTAACACTCAGAGGTAGTAAACTATTAAAATTTGGAGGTATTTTTTATATATTTTTCCATATTAGCATATGCCAAAAGAGAGACCAGGATTTATATTTAAAAATACCAACACAAGATCATGATAAATATCAGCTATTTAAATACCAATGACTTCCAGACTTTTAAAATAACAAGGGTAACACCTGCTTGTAGAAACTGGAAGAACAAAGGAATGCACAGAGCGGTATCTAAAAGTGCCCCAATCCCAACTCTCACCCTCAGAACCACCACTATTATATTTTCCTTGTAAGAAACCAAGACAGGGTTTTCAGTTACTTCTATTTCTCAGTAGGTCAAGAATGTGGGCACCCTCTCCTCATCTAAGAGAAATTCTCCACGAAATGGTCAGTGTTATTTTATACACTCATTCTAAAAATGCGATCTCCTCCCCTTTTCCCACTCTAAAAAATACTTCTCACGAATATTCCTATCTTTAATTTCTTTAAAACAAATCTAGAGTTCTCCTTACCAAAGTATTCCTCTTTCTTTTATCAACCAAAGAAAGCTTATGCTGGCCTCAGTCCCTTATCCAGGCACGAACTGTATTTTAAATTAAGACAACTGCTATGTATTTAGTGTCTCTCCTTCAAACAATCCCATCAGCTTCCTACAAGCATTTTCTTAGTTATCCATACACAAAATGGGAAAGTATTTTAAGACTGTAAGTTTAATCAACTTCGTCAATAAAAAAATATAATTGGCTAGTACCTATTTATTTTATTTTCATTTCCTTTGCCCATCTTTGAGTGGTAATGCATATTATGCTTTGATTGGTTGAATGGCTGACTGGACATTTAGCATATTAGGCTTTTATTATATAGGGTGGTGCAAGGTGTGAAATGAAGTGTCAAATTTATTGGTATAAAGTTTTCCACAATATTTTTCAACTCTCGTAATATCTGTAGAATCAGCAGTGATGTATTTTATTTCATTCCTGACACTGAAAATATGTCTTCTCTCTTTTCTTTCCTGATCATTCTGGATAAAGGTTTATTATATTCTCAAAGAACTAGCTTTTGGTTTCATTAATTATATCTACTGATTTTCTGGGCATACAAATTTTTAAATCAGTATACATTTTTAAATCAGTGTACATTTATTCAGTTTCCAATTTTCTCATGTCTGATCAGATAAACACATGAATTAAAAACTCCATAGAATCTAGAAGGGTAATTTCTTAGTGGGTTATAAGCGTGTTCAACTTTATTAGAAATTACTTAATTGCTTTTCAAAGTAGTTGTACCAATTTATATTCGCATCAAGTATATCAACAAGTTTGAGAGATCTCCTTTTACCACTTCTTTAAAAACACTGCATCTCTGACACTTGCTAAATGATAACTATGGAATTGTATTGTGTCTTAGATTGAGCTCACTGATTACTGGTGAGACTGAATAAATTTTCACATGCTTACTGGTCATTTAAGTATCCTCTCTGGTGAGTTGTCCATTCACATTGTTTGCCCACAAAATGTAATCGGCTGGTCCTGTGGTTGAACTATTAGAGTGTTACTCCTGCTGACAGTGGCTGCACACTGCAGCCCAGACACCCAGAGTTCCAGGCAGTGCAGGTCCCTGCCTCTTATAATCCCTTGGGTATTGAGATCTATGTAACCAACTCCGTTTTTGACACAGCCATGCCTTTCGTGATTGTATATCAATTCAAACGTCTATATTTGTAAACAAATTCCAAGAACCCTCGGGATTTTGTTTTTCTACTGTAGGTTTCTCAGTGAAAAATCAGCAAGCACTTTCTTCATTATTAGGAAGCACAACAGTTACCAAACCATGTAATTAAAGCTGGATATTAATATTTCTGATTTCTAACCTTGTTCCCCAAATCTAATTATCTAAGTCATATTCAAGTCCTCCAATTTTTTTTTCAAGAGGATGGCTTCATCAACCTATGAATAAGGAGGTCATGGTTCGATTCCTGGTCAGGGCAGATGCCTGGGTTTTGGGCTCGATTCCCAGTGTGAGGTGTGTAGGAGGCAGCCGATCGATAATTCTCTCTCATCATTGGTGTTTCTCTCTCTCTCTCCCTCTTCTTTCTTCTCTGAAATCAATAAAAATACATTTTTAAAAAGAGGATGGCTTCCCTGGTAATATGACAGGAAACAAAAAACAGGATGTAAGAGAAACTTTAATCTTGAAGATAATTTGAAGACAAGTATCTTTGTTTATTATTCATAAATCCAAAACCAACGTAAGTGGAATAGTCTTAATTTGAGACTACTTGGACAAAGATAAAGAAAATTTTTCCCTTAAAAAAGTGATAGTAAATACTGATGAGAACTAAGTTCAGAATTTAATCTACATAGATACAAAATTGAAAACCTGAAGAAAATAAATGATTTGGTGGCCCACATTACTAAAATGGCTTCTCTGCATCTTCCCTGACCTCCCAATAGTCCCTGCTCAGCAATGCAGCCAAGTGTCTTGTTAAAATCTAAGTCAGATCATATCACTTTTGCTCAAAACCCTCCAATGGTTCCCAATGCCATTCAGAATGAGAAATAAAATTCTTAATAGTCTTTACAGACTATAACATAGTTCTTTCATAATAGTTTGCCTCCATTTCCAACCCCAGAACCAAACTTTTCTGATCTCCTCTCCTCCTCTGTCCCCTGGACTCTCTCTATTCCACTGTCACTGGTTCTCAGGTATTTTTAGGACACACCAGGCATCCTCTTGCCTCATGGCCTGTGGGACTGTGGCCTGGAATGCTGTTCCTTCACAGACACTTGGCTTCTTCCTTCCCCTTCTAAGAATCTTGTCTCATGGCAGCCCTTTCCTCAGTGAGGCTGTCCCTGACTCCATTCAATAACCTTCCAGGACACTATGTATTTTACTTGTGTATTTAATAACCATCCACCTCCCCAACTGGAATAGCTAACATTCTATCCAAGGGCAGGTTTTTATATATTTTCCTTAGTACTGCATCCCTAGCACTTAGAATCTCACAACATGGAACAGGTGCTAATCAAATACTTGATGAATTAGTGGAGAAAATAAAATTTGAAGCAGTCATCATAAGCAAAGATGTTTGTTGTTCCTTGAAATAAACATCTAAATTCACTAGTATCCTACTTCATAAAGAGTTATTTGTTAAAAACTTAATTTATAAATGGTATTTCTAGCCTAAGATCATTCCTGAAAATACCATATAGCATATGACTTGATTATCAGAATATGAATCTTATTTAGAAAATCAATGAGAGAGAATCATTGATTGGCTGCCTCCTACACGTCCCACACTGGGGATTGAACCTGCAACCCCAGGCATGTGCCCTGATGGAACCAAACCATGACCTCCTGGTTCATAGGTCAATGATCAACCACTGAGCCACGCCTGCCAAGCTTCCCTTCTATTTTAAAAATTAAAGCATCAATACAAGTACCAATTTGGTAATAAATTCAGTTGTTTCCAGGCAGCAAAAACAGTAGGATATGTAAATATCCAAGGATATCTTCTTAGCTAGGAAGTCGAAAGCTTGTGAGATAGCCAAACTAAATGGGAAAAAAGGGTCTTATTTATTTCATTTTTCTTGAGCCAAAATGCATCTATACAGCAGCCAGTTGCACTTTTGCCACCGACTGGTGGGAAACTCATGAGAACAGAACTGCACAGAGAACAAATGCATACAAACAACAATAAATAGGTGATGTTAAGGAAAAGAGCATCATATGAAATTAAATGGTTAATGTACTTTAGAAAAGAAAACTTAATAATTCAATTAAAAGGTTTTGATTTAAATTCCCCGGATTAAAAATAATAGATTTTATTGTTATTTTTTAACTTTATAGACTTCCTTATGACATAAGATTAAAGGACATTTTCCCTTACCGATTCAACTAATGATCTTGCTTTCTCTTGAGCACAATGATAAGGACTATCGCATATCTGCACATTTGTGCTGCAAATGAAAAGAGAATGTTTTTATTACACAGGATAAAAAAGGAGCAATTACCCAAAAGAAAACCAAGTCCAAATACTCCACACTGACAGTATGATTCTAGCTGGTGAAAAGGACCTGAATAAATATAAATTAGGAAAAATGTAGATTCTTGTACATTCTTTCAGGCAAGGTTATAAATAAAAGTGCTCTGCAGCACTTCATGCTCCAGAATTCAAAATAAAATTATACAAAAGTATACAAATCTCAACTGCACCCTGTTATATATAAAAGGCTAAGCTAAAACTACACTTCACCTTTACTGAAGGAAAGAAAAAAAAAATTTGACCCACAGAATGATGACTATAAGGATAAATTTTCTCTAAGTGAGGAGATAAATACTAATTGGCCACTGAAAGGTAGGTATGGAAGATTAAACTAAGAGTGGTGAGAGAAAATCATATGACTATGAAAACTCGGTTTTCTCACAAGTAAGGAAGTTTGGTAGGCATAAGACACCAGCTCCTTCCATGATCAGTAACGGCTCTATACAGTCAAAGCTTCTCCATTCAATGGGAACACCATGCTATCAATGCAGCATGACACCACCCAGTACCTTGTCCTACCTCCTGCATCAAAACAAAGGCATCCTTCCTCTCAATCATAATTTCATAAAAAAATCAGATTAAAATGGATTCCTAAAGGAGATAAATAATAGATGACACACACACACACACACACACACCCGTAAGTGAATCTACAGGATACACATTATCAAATTACTATTAATTTTCACAATGGTTTATGAAATATGTCAGGATATATATAAGAAGATCTATCTATCTATCTATCTATCTATCTATCTATCTACCTAACCTACTTACCTATCTATCTTTTTAACTACATCCATCTATAATCAGACATTGGGTAAAACAATTATACTAACTAGTCAGTTTGCTTTTTATCCAGACTCAAGACGTGGGATTTATTTTCATTCTTGACGTGGATAAGAAAGTTGGCATTATCATCTTTAAGACTATTTTTATTTTCTTCTCCACATCCCATGTTTATTTAAAAAACTGAAAAAGGTAAAGCCTTATTAAGTCAGATGTTTTCTTAAAGAAAGTTAAAACTAAATTTAAAAAGAATAAGGCAAAAAATTAGACATTGCAGTCTTAAGTGCTAGTCTTCTGAAGAAACCATGGTGTATGGTAAATATACTATGCACAATGTTTCTAACATTAAAACTAAATCATCTATAGATGTTGGGGATACAGAGCCCCTATTGAACTAGAGCCCCTATGGAGCTGACAATATTTAGGAAACATTTTAGCTCTCAAATCAAACCATGGCCTACAAGGGAAGCAGAAAAATCATTTAATGGAAAGATGACTAAGCTGATAAGTATCTACTACAAATGAGATTAAATATGACTACAAAGAATATGCTGCTTCCCTTTTTATAATAAGACTAGAGGCCTGGTGCACAAAAATTTGTGCACTCGGGGTGGGGGGGAGGTCCCTCAGCCCACCCTGTGCCCTCTCATAGTCTGGGACCCCTCGGAGGATGACCACCTGCTGGCTTAGGCCTGCTCCCCAGGGGATTGGGCCTAAACTGGCAATCAGACATCCCTCTGGCTCCTGGCAGCCCTTGGGGGATGTCCACTTGCCAGCGGGAAGCAGACATAAGCTGCAGTCGGACATCCTTAGCGCTGCTGAGGAGGCAGGCGAGGCTCCCATCACCACCACTGTACTGGCAGCCATCAGCCTGGCTTGTGGCTGAGCAGAGCTCCCCCATGTGGGAGCGCACTGACCACCAGAGGGCAGCTCCTGCATTGAGCGTCTGTCCCTTGGTGGTCGGTGTGTGGCATAGTGACCGGTCATTTGGCCGTCGGGCTGAACCTGGCTCTCCGACATCCCCCAAGGTGTTATAGATTGTGAGAGGGCACAGGCCAGGCTGAGAGACCCCACCAGTGCACAATCAGGGCTGGTGAGGTATGTGGGAGGTTGGCCAGCCAGGAGGGACTGCTGGAGGGCTCGCTGAAAGCAGGTATCTGGGGTTTGTTTAGCTTCTATAATTGCAACTTTGTTGCTTAGAGTGGAGCTCAGAGCCTGGCCACAGCAGGGAGGAAGCTTGGCTTCCTCTATCACTGGAGCAAGCAAGCCTCCTGCTCACTTCAGCTGCGTGGCTGCTGGCCGCCACCTTTGTTGGTGGTTAATTTGCATATCTTGCTGATTAGCCAATGGGAAGTGTAGCGGAGGTACGGTTAATTTCAATCTTTGTCTATTATTAGATAGGATACCAAATATTTTGCTATAAATTTATAAACATTATATAGCCCATATGCAATCTCACTTACCAAAATAAGCAGACATGACATTAGAGCAACAGCTGAGCAATACCAAAAATGCTGTGTACAACAAACCCAAATTGCACTTAAAAATAATAAAAGGCATTATTAGTAGATATATAATAGTGCAAAAATTGATTAAATAAAAATAGAAAAAGAAATTACCTGCAAATAATGAACAGACACATAAAAGATGAAATTTACGGCCCGCAATATAGAACATTAGTAAAGAGAAATTTTTTTTTTCAAGACCATCTCAAATCAGACAAAGGCTCAAACTCATGAGAATCCTCAAAGACAGGTCCAGGATATAGATTTGCCCAGGCTTTTCATTCTACAGCAAAGTAGTCAAGAAAATAGGAGAGACAGGGAGAGAAGAAGGGAGGGAAGAAGGGAGGGAGGGAGGGGGGGGAGAGAGAGAAGGGAGGGAGGGAAGGAGGAAGGAAGGAAGGAAGGAAGGAGAAAGAGAGAAGAGAATGACAATGATTTTGGACTATAACCTCCAGAGTTTGTAGAAGTGACACTGCAGTAAATCTACACAAAGTTAAAAGAATTGGAGCCATCTGTATAAGATCAAATGCACCTCCCTCTGGAAAGGTAAAAAGAAACAATTTTAAGATCTCAACTATTTGGAATTTTTTTTTTCATTTTTTCATTCAGTAAGCATAAACTACCTGTCAAGTACTGTCACTAAGTGCGAAGGTCAAACTCAATTTAGAGCATAAAAAAGAAAAAATAATGCACCGCCCCAAGTTCTTCAGAGGGGTGTGTACAGCTCAGGTGATGTAAGAGCACGGGTGAGAGTACAGTTAATTTTGACCAGAAAAAAAAATTCTTTGCAGAGGTGACATCTAAACTACTTCTTGAAGAATAAGCAGGCATTCAAGGAGGAAAGACAGTGAGATGAGAGGGGACAGAATGAGGCTGGACAAGTAGGTTTTGACAAATTTAATGTGTGGAAGAACTGGGTCATATTCTGTCATCGAAGGGAACCACATGAAGTTTTTAAGAATAAAAATGACAATCACATTTGTATTTTTCAAAGATAATTTGGACAATACTGTATAGAACATATTAAACAGAAGAGTAGTTGCAATACAAAATAATTTATGAGTACAAAAATGAAAACTGAATTAAAGCAGTTTTGCAACTAGAAGGGCATTTGAGAAGTAATCAAAACTTGAAAAACTGCATCACAACAAATAATCGTTAGTGAAATGAAATAAGCTGGTAAAAAGAACAGTACACTTCGGATCTCTTAAAAATGAGATAAATAAGCTGTGGCTGAAGAGAGCGTCAGAGGCATTGATGATTAAACCCAAATGGCAAAAAACAAAAAAAACAAAAAAAAACACAACCCCTCTGTTTCTCCTACAAAGGAGTTTACAGTTATTTTAATGAAGTTCTTTCTGTTAAAAGACTATATCGCCTTCAGAGTAAACATTAAACAGTGGGACCAAAATAATAAAAATAACAAAACTTATTGTGAATAAGATAATTACTCAAAATACCAATTAAAGAATTTAATAAATGCAGTGCTCCTGGAAACAGAAGAGTCACTACTAGATTTAAAACACAACGAATATTTATTGGCTTTAAAATATTATTCAACAGTTTACCTCAAAGGGGATTTATTAAGTAGCTATTACATGTCAGGTGAAAAATAAAGATGGCTAAGGCAGTTTATTCATTTGCTTTCAAGGAACTTCTAGAGGACACAAATTCACAAATAAAACACAGCAGCCCCCCCTTATCTGTAGGGGATATGTTCCAAGACCCCCAGTGGATGCCTGAAACCACGGACAGAATTGAACACTCTATACACTATGTTTTTTCCTAAACACACATACCTGTGATAAAGTTTAACTTATAAATTAAGTGAGAAATGAACACTAACTAGAAATAAAGTAGAACAATTATAACAATATACTCTAACATATACTCGAATATAAAGGTATGTGAATACGGTCTCTCATTTCTGATATCTACTAAGTGACCGATACACTGGAAAAAGGGATATTTCACATCCTGGACTGCAGCAGGACAATGCGAGATTTCATCACACTACTAAGAACAGTGTTGACTTAAAACTTATAATTGTTTTTCTGAAATTTTCCATTAATATCTCAGACCGCAGTTGACTGCAGGTAACTGAAACCATGGAAAGCAAAACCACAAATAGGGGCAGGGGGCCGGGGTGTTATTGGTTAATCACTATGGTAAATGCAATGATAGAAACACACAGAGGGAACACTGAGTGTATTGGCACCTTAACTAGCACTGGGGCTACTATAAGGGAACGTTTCCTAGAGAAGATGCAGTCAAAGATAAGTCTTAAAAAATGAAGAAGTTAGCCAGTTCACAAAATGAGAAGACAATCACGGCCAAGAAAACAGTCACGGCCTAGAGGTCAATAACCATGGTGTGTATGAGGAGTGATAAGCAGTTCTCAGTTGTTGGAAACAGGAATAAGAGGCATGAAGTGATGGAAAGTGAGACCAGACAGGGGCCAAATCTTGAAAGGCCTTGTTTGTTCTTCTGGAGAAAAGTTCGTGTTTTATGGTTCACACACAGAGAGGCTCATTAAGGGCTTTAAAAACATTTTTATAAAGGCTGAGAGATCCTAATTCACTAGACTTAAAAAAGGGACAATGCAGCTAAGTTTTCTCACAGTTTCCCTAGGTACTTTTGATGGACTGTGTTGTTTAGAGAACTGCAGTGATAAATAATGTGAACCTAAACTGAACGAAGTGGGGAAAACAGGTTAAAAAGGGAAGAGGAGACAGTGTACTCATCTATAACAGTACATTTTAAGGAACCAAGAGAGTAATTTATTCACTAAAAATAAAGAATATAAAAATACAACAACTTTGAATATATTTTACAAGTCAAGTAGTGATACAAATAAAAAATGTGTTAATATTCTAAAGGTTTTGTCTTTAAATGACCTAGGCACATGTAATTTTTAAGCTAACAAACTTATTTTATTGTATTCTCTAAAATAGTACAGGTAGCCTGACTGAGGTTGCTCAGTGGTTGAGCATCAACCCATGAACCAGGAGGTCACAGTTTGATTCCAGGTCATGGCAGGGCACATGCCCTGATTGCAGTATCGATCCCCAGTAGGGGGCATGCAGGAGGCAGCTGATCAATTCTTCTTTCTCCTCACTGATGGTTCTATCTCTCTCTCCCTCTCCCTTTCTTCCTGAAATCAATAAAAGTATGTATTATAAAAAATAATAATAAAATAAAATGGTAGAGGCATACTATAGCTGTTAAGTAAACAGACTTGGAACCTGGCTTAAATCCTGGCTCCTCCGCCCAGTGTGACCTTAGATCCATTCAATCTCTGTGGTTTCAGTTCCTCGTGGGTAAAATGGAGATGTAATGGGGTTCTGGTGAGTATTAATGAAATAACACATATAAAATACATAGAACCTGGAAGATAGGAGAGTTCAATAAATGTCAACTCTTACTAATGTAATCCTAATCACTACCAAAAACTAGAGCAAAATGATGCCAGAGCTTAGAAGTAGTCACCCTCAGAATGCAGATAATTAGAATCCGCACAGAAGGAATGATCTCAAGCAGTAGAAAAGCTAACCAACGCGAGGGTCTGCAGCTGTGTAGCTGAGGAAGCTTGGGAAAAACACAAGTCACTCAAGAAGTGCAAGAGCTTTTCAGAAAGTATGACTAGCAAGGAGATAAGTAAGGAAGTGAACAGCAAGCAAATTCCTCTTAGACAATTAGAGATGTCTTCTTTTAGCTCATCACATTAATAGCTGGCTTCGAATACCTGACCATGAAGATGAACTCAGTCTACCAGTTACTAGGATAGTCAGGACTGGAAGACTTTGTTGTTAATAAATTATACTATTTAAATTAGAAAAAAATACCTAAATTTTAAGAATATGCTGAAAAAAAGAGAGAGTAGTCTGCACAAGCGGTAAGAAAACGGGGAAGAGGATATCAGAGTTGAGGGTGTTACATTAGCCTGCACGAGAAATAGAATCTGAAGCTATAATGCCCAAGCAGGTGTGCCACAGGTAAGATGAGCCTCTTGATGACCTGAATAAAATATTCTTTGAGCCTATTTCTTTCCTTCATCTGACTAATTTATTCTAACAATTGCTTTAATGCATCGGTTCTCAACCTGTGGGTCGCGACCCCTTTGGCGGTCGAACGACCCTTTCACAGGGGTCGCCTGAGACCATCCTGCATATGAGATACTTACATAACGATTCATAACAGTAGCAACATTACAGTTATGAAGTAGCAATGAAAATAATTTTATGGTTGGGTCACAACATGAGGAACTGTATTTAAAGGGCCAGAAGGTTGAGAACCACTGCTGTAATGACTCTTTTGATTCCAGACTTTATGCTCCAAAAAGGCAGGGACTGTCTTCACAGCAGTAATACAGTGGGGCCTTGACTTACGAGTTTAATTCGTTCCGTGATGGAGCTCGTAACTCAAATTACTCGTATGTCAAATAAAAAAGTGAACGAGTGAGACACGTGATGCTGGGCTGATGTTGTGGCGTTCACTGTGACGTTCGCTATGCCAACTAGCGGTGGGGTATCTGAAGCTGGCTCGTAACCCGAATTTTAGTCGCAACTCAAAGCACACAATTGGCCCAGAGATGCCTCGTATCTCGAAAAACTCGTTAGTTGGGACACTTTTAAGTCAAGGCCCCACTGTACTGGTATCAGGACAGGACCTGGCAGTAGACCCCTAATCAGTATTTGCTGAAAGAGAATGGTTTTCCAATTCCTCCTGGTTCAGAGACGGGAACAGTGAAGTGGGGCAGTATCTACTCTCAAGGACGTCAAGTTGCTTCCCACAGTTAGGCTCACCAACAGTCAGTTGTTTTGTTCTCAAACTTGTTTATGTCTGTTGTCTTGGTTGCTATTATTTCAAAATGTAAGCGGTAATTATGCCCATAGATGAAGGGAGTGTGGAAAGAGAACGTTTCTATGAACACTAAAGTAGGCTCTATAACTTCTGAGGCTGTAAACACTATTGAGGCTCTCAAAAGCCTTAATCAAAATGAATGACTATAAAAACTTGATGGCAAAATAAGGTGTGGGGTAAGGCAACTGTAAAAGGTTAGAAAAAAACATACCCTTTAAACTTATTAGGGTTTTTCATTGTAAGGAGTTTAAGGGTTATAGGACATGATCTTTATTTTCTATTATACATTTACGTAAGAATATATATAATCTATATGGAATCAATACAGAAAAGGTCTTAGCCTTATGTCCAGGAATAGGTGAATAAATGTACATTTAACTGTTTTAAAGTAAAATAAATGAGTTATATATGTTACTGTTGTTTGATTCCTCTGAATCTATCAGCTAATGATCCACATCTTGTTGGATAAGATGGCTTTTCTGTTTTTAGTAAGAAATGATGTGGTAGCTACAAGATAAATACAATAACCATATGCTTGCATGTTGAAAAACTGTTAATGTTTTTTCAGGCCATTTCTGCACATATCACAATATATTACAATAACTACTGATACTATAAATGCTCCCACTAATCTATAAATCCCTTGAAAAATGATGAGTCAATTATTAGTTTCATGGTGCCCAACACTTAGTAATGACTTCCAAATAGGTGCTCTGTAAGTATTTAAGTCAAAAAAATTGCAACTCCCTTAAAAAAATCAGATCTGAGTAGTATTATATGACTGTTTACTACCAATTAATAATAAAATAACAATAAGTAAAAAAGACAAATTCTTACCAACTTATAGCCCCTCCATCACACTGTTTCATAAGCAATGCTTTCCAACATTCATGTGTAGATTTAATAACTTCAAGAGCAAAAGCCTAGTTCCAAACCAAAAGAAAAAAAAAAAAGTCATAGCAATCATCACATCGTTATACTAACATACTCTCTATAAGAACACGAGCTCTGGAGTCAGGCAAACTTGAGTGTAAATTCTGGCATCCTTATTTACCAGCTGTCTGACTTTGGGTAAGTTGCTTAATCTCACTAAATCTTAATTTCTTCATCTATTAAATGGAATGGAATGGGGATAATTGAAATCAGAGGTTGGCAACCTAAGGCCTGGGGGCCAGATCCAGCCTGCCACTGTTTTTGTAGATAAAGTTTTACTGAGCACAGTTTTATACATATACATAATCCTATACAAAAGACTTAGATCTAAAGGTTCTTTTAATAAAGATTCTTTAAAAAAATATTGAGTCCAGCAATAAATTCTTATATAGCAAAATACTTAGTGTAAATGCTACTTTTATTTATTTTTTTAATATATTTTTATTGATTTCAGAGAATGGAAAGGGAGAGATAGAAACATCAATGATGAGCAAGTCATTGACTGGCTGCCTCCTGCACGCCCCCTACTGGGAATCAAGCTGGCAACCAGGGCATGTGCCCTGACCCGGAATTGAACCATGACCTCCTGGTTCATAGGTTATCGATGCTTAACCACTGAGCCATGCTGGCTGGGCCTTATTGCAAATTTTAGTTTTCATTAACATGGCTTACTTATAAAATATAATTTATTTATTAGCACCCACTTAAAGGTTGGATTATAATGCATAATTCATATAGTGGTAATAACTAAAAAATATTCCATGCTTTACACTTTAACTCTCTGGCTATTTTCTCCATTTGCATCATATTAGAGACAGTTTATGGTATTCTATTAAAAAGTCCTATGACAGTGAGATAATTTAAATGCTTTCTTAAATTAGCAGCTTGATTCAGTCATGGTAAAATGAGCACATAGGAGACAAGCCCCTATTGATTTACACTAATAGTAAGTAACTGTATCCTCTCCAGAATAGTAAATAGAAGATTTTTCTTCCTAGAGAATTGGAAGAATTAGATTCATCATGGAAATCCCTCATTTTTTTAGATGAAAGAGATATCTATAGATAAATAGATGGATTTAGATCTTCATTAGCCTACTGATTCACTGAGAGATCTCCTGAAAAAATTTTTTAATAAAAGTCATGAATTAATATCCTTAAGTATAAAAGTTATTAAGACTTTTGCTATCATGCTATATACAAATATTCATACGTGAAAAAGTATTTTACAGGTATTATGAGGTATGTTTTAAAATAAAGAGTATTATCTTCACCTTGTTTTTGAATTCTCCATTAAAAGCAAAATGGTTTTCTGGTTTTCCCTCTGGCACCTTATAAAATCTAAACCAATTAAGTGTAGCTTCCAAATAACCTGGTTTGTACTTCCGAACATCATCAATATCTGTAAGTGAAAAAACAAGAAGACTTTTTGTTAAAAATAAAAATTCATTCCTTATAGAGCGTGGAGCTGAGGGAGGTAGAAAACACAGAGTCTAGTGTGATTCTGCTAACAAGCAGCATAATCGTCAGCATATGTCCTTTCCCTGCTGGACTCCGGTATTGCAATGTGAATATTACACTTCATTCTACAGACACTTTCTGAGTATCTTCAGATACTGTCGTAGGTACAGGAGATGAGAACAGCCAAGTTCTTTTCCTCAAGGAGCTCAGAGGGCTAATGAAAGGAAACAGACAAACAAACAACAAAATGCAATGCAGTAAGAAAATTAAGTGTGATGTCATCCTGCTGGCAATGGAGGGCTAAAGTAGGGCAAGTTACAACATCAGGATCAGTGCTCAAGAAATATTAAGCTAAAGGAACACTGAACATAGAAAGGAGAGGGCAGTACCCAGAAGAGAACGTATTAAAGTTGGATAAGAAAGGTTTCATGAACATATAAACCAGATATTTAGTAAGTTTCTCGTTCATTATGTGTCAGATAGTGTTCTAAGCAGTGAAAGAGAACAGTAAATGGAAATGAGCTCCTACTCTCATGGCTTGCACAGTAGGAAGAGACAAATAACAAACAGAGAAACAAACATGTAATACATTAAGCAATGGAAAAGTATGATGAAGGAAAATAAAGCAGAGTAAGAAAGAATGAAGACAGGTCAACTTTAAACAGGATGATACATAGATGGTCCAGAGTTTTTAATTCCAAAATCTGTAATGATTTACAGGATTTATTTTTAAGTTCTGTTACCATGTAAACAGCTTGACTGTTACATTTCAAGGGCATTCATGTTTAAATAACTGGGTATTACTATATTAATAACAGACCTCCTACCCCCATAAAGATTCCCAAGAAATATATCCTTTCAATAAATATTAATTGAAAAAGTATGAGGAATAACTAGGCAAAACTAGAAGCCTTTACTCTTCACCAGACTGTGGCTTAAGGCTTAATTTAGCATAGTCCTTTATGCATAAAATATTATAGCAAATGACAAACAGACTTGGTAATACTGAAAAATTAGAAAGTTATAACCAGAAACCAGAGAAGACACCATGCACAGGGATAATTTAAAGATCATATGGTTTCAGACTTGCTCATCCAAGCCTTGTGGGAATCCTCACTCACTAGCTATGTCAGGAAAAGGTGAGCATTTTTATGCTTGCCTTTTTCCTGTTGTGTAAAGGTTTAGCAAGAGTTACACATGCCTCCAGAGGCCAGATGATTCACACACTGAAATGAATGTGGTAAGGCAGACACCATAGGCACCATGGCAAACAGAAGACAGAGTATGCTGCCTAAAGGTACTCAAAATTAAAATGCTATAATATGCCAATGGGCCATATATCTATCTAAGCCTTAGATTCTAAGCTAATTCTGGAGCAAATAGCAGGAACATTACAAGAAGGAAAAGAATCACTAGAAACTGAACACAGGCTACGCTTGCTCTATTAATTATAGTTGACGAGTGGCCTGGTGCATGAAATTCATGTGTGTGTGTGTGTGTGTGTGTGTGGTGTGTCCCTCAGCCAGGCCTGCACCCTCTCCAATCTGGGACCCCTCGAGGGATGTCCAGCTGCCGGATTAAGCTCGATCCCTGCAGGCATCCCTCTCACAATCTGGGACCGCTGGCTCCTAACCACTCACCTGCCTGCCTGATTGCCACTAACCCCTCTGCCTGCCGGTCTTCTCGCCCCCAACTGCCCCCCGCCCTTGCCAGCCTGATCACCCCCAACTGCCCTCCCCTCCTGGCCTGATCGTCCCTAACCGCCTCTGCTTCGGCCCCAACACCATGACTTTGTCCGAAAGGTCTCCCAGAAGGCCTCCTGGTCTAATGAGCATATTACCCTTTTAGTAGTATAGATATTTATTGATTAAATGATGGAAGATGTTCAAGATAGTGAATTCTTTTTAGTATTATAAATCGTATCCTAAGTCACAAAAGTCTTTGTCATACCCCCAAAACAACATTTAATAGATCCTCTTCAATTTCTGATTATTGTTATACTTATCTTTTTAGAAGAGTTTTGTTCCAAGGCGAGCTTTCTATTGCTCATTTTCCTACATCCTATCTCTATTTTTGTGAAAAAAATTCTGTAAATTAGGTAATACCGAGTTCCTTCAAATCACTGTTTTGTTATTGAGAAGGAGAAAAACTTCTTTTGGTCCACTCAAGGTGAGTAATCGTAAAGGCAAATAAATAAGTTTCTGTTAACTTAAATTTATGACCTCATCATTATACCTTACCCTATTTGCCATTCTCAGACCCCTTCATAAACATTTTTATGAAGGATTTTTAATTTACTGACAGTAAATAAGAAAGGAAAAGCTAAGTTTATTTCAGTTCTTGTTTTTAATTGCAAATAAAACTCTTTTAATTAAGATCTACTTGATAAATTCCCAGGATGATTAACAAAGACTTCTTTAAAATATTCTGACTGATGTCCACAGTAGCACCAATGCTGAATCTAGGCTAATTCTATCTAATAAAAGAGAAACATGGTAATTAGCCATATCTCCACTACCCGTCCCATTGGCTAATCAGGGTGATATGCAAATTAACTGCCAGCCAAGATGGTGGCCAGCAGCCAGGCTACTAACACAGACAGGAGGCTTGCTTGCTCCAGTGACGGAGGAAGCCAGGTTCCCTGCCTGCTGCTGATGGGCTCTGAGCTGCTAAGAAACATTGTTACAAATATAGAAGCTAAACAAAACCCCAGAAACCTGTTTTCAGTCAGCTGGGATCTCAGAGCTGGAGTCGCAACGAAGTTTCAAATACAGAAAGTAAACAAAGCCAGAAACCTGCTTTCACCAACAAGGTCTCACAGGTAAAGCCGGCTCTCAGCTCCAGTGACAGCCATATATCCAAGAGTAAAAATAAAAAAAAAGGAGAGGTTGGAAGCTTCAGTCACCCACCAGCCTGAAAACGGCCGTCAGCCCCTCACCCAGACTTGCCAGGCACCCCAGTAGGGA